GAGCCAGTGGTAGTCACACCAAAACATGCCTTCATCAGTCAATGAAATCCACAACAGTTAGTTGAAGCCAGCCACGTAGGAAGGTGTAGACTTCCTGACTGACTAGTTGGGGTCCTCGGGACGGTAAACACCAATGGCTCGAGACAGATGATTGTTGATATGGCTCAAAATCGTTCTCAATGACTGGTGCAGATGCATCCACTCTTTGTGACTGATAATATCCAATAAAACTGTATGGTTCTTCGATATTACTATTCTTTTTGTCTCATATCTCTGTTTGCTGTCTCTATTTTGCATTGTTTTACTTTCTTCTCTTACTTTGTGTGTTATGTGGATGGAGTGTGGTGACTTGAACTGCTGCACATCTTTGCAAAGTTCTATGTTGAAAACAGTCAGACAGACAAACAGCAAGTACACCAGGGAAGATTTGTGCAAACGACGATTTTCAGATTAGGCTGCAAATAAACATTTCAACATACACTGAGTCTCTTGTCGTCTCCTGTAAAAACATGATATATGTATACAATTTAGCTGTATGTATGCTTAGAGTATTTTTTTTTTACTGTCCGTGAAATGGGGTGTAATAATTGTATTTTGCTCGTTATTAATATATATGGTTATTTTATTTTCCTTCATTCTCTCTTTCCTAGTGTCGCCTTTTTTCCATTGACTTGTTTCAGAAATGAGTTAATTAGTTTAGACAGTGATAAAGTAAACTGATGCAGAAATGTAATGAGGTGTAATAATCCTCTTCTGATACATCTCATCACCACACCTGGATTGTGGTGGAGGTTAATGTGACTGACATTTGGTTACAGGATTTAATCATGAGCTGACATTTGTTAGAGAACCATTGGAAAACCTGAGGGTACTGGACAGCTGTTTCGTCCTAGTGCTCGAGACTCTTCAGCAGTACGCACCCACCGGGGTTCGAACCCAGGACCTTCTGGTTACAAGGCTAACCAGCTCGTATACCATTAAGCCACCGGGACCCGATCCAATGGCCCGTGAATTCTAACTCCTGCCAATTCACGATATAGCGCAACCGCTAGCCAAATACTCGCTGAAGACATTGGCTAGCGGTTGCGCTATATCGTGAATTGGCAGGAGTTAGAATTCACGGGCCATTGGATCGGGTCCCGGTGGCTTAATGGTATACGAGCTGGTTAGCCTTGTAACCAGAAGGTCCTGGGTTCGAACCCCGGTGGGTGCGTACTGCTGAAGAGTCTCGAGCACTAGGACGAAACAGCTGTCCAGTACCCTCAGGTTTTCCAATGGTTCTCTAACAAATGTCAGCTCATGATTAAATCCTGTAACCAATCAACCAAATCCCTACAAACCAATACTTGAATATGACCGACATTTATTGAAAACAATAAATATATCGAAATTATTAACTGATGGCGACTGAAAAGATCACACTGCTTTTTGCTGTTGTGCCTTTAATCACACTGATGCGCACACACACTTATGCACACAGTGGATACACGCTGACTGGATATCATTGCACTTGTGATGAAGTCATCATGTTTCCCTAAAATAAATATTGTTGTGAATTAGGCTTTTCTAGCAGTGTTATTATTATTATTTAATTGCTCGAAGTGCCAACTAACTGTTGTCGCAGTAGAAGATAAAAGAATCGGGAATGGACCTTTAATTAAGGTAAAATACATCTCATATTAATACCTTTTTAACCACATTGAAATCCAGCTAGGTCAGTGGACAATAAGCTGTTCTGATTGGTTGGCGATTGTCCCAAGGTAGTTAAATAATAATGAGACAAAAAGTTGTCCAACAGGATTATTTCATGTCGACATTGTAAACTAGATCCAGATTTGTGGAATATTAAACACTTCTTTCGACCTCTGGAGCCAGACATTCACTTAAAATGTTGATTTCAATTTTCACTGCTAATTGCTGTAGTCGACAGACACCTGAATGAACTCATGTGAGAAATGGTTCAAATACATATTGTCTGACTCTTAACACCCTGTCTATTCACAACTCTCCCCGCCTTCAAATTCATCAGGTAGGATTAGAAGTCATTATAAGAGATTATATGCTCGTACAACCAAGTACAGAAACTCAACGATACCATACTTGACCCGCGTCCTTTATGACAGAGACAGTGTTAAGCGCACGAATCGGATGACTTACTAGGTAATTAGCAAAATAATTGGCGCTTTTGGTTACAGGATTTCGTCATGAGCTGACATCGGTTAGAGAACCATTGGAAAACCAGCACCGGAGTCCTAGACAGTTAGCTGTGTCGTCCTAGTTTTGGACTCTTCCACAGCATTACGCACCCATCGCCAGGGTCCGACCCCACGACCCAGCGGCACCAGCTAATGGCCCATGCCCCAGTGGCTTGATGGTCTACGAGCTCTCTCGCCTTGTAACCACAAGGTTCTGGGTTCGAACCCTGGCGATGGGTGCGTACTGCTGTGGAAGAGTCCCAAGCACTAGGACGAGACAACTAGCTGTCCAGGACTCCAGTCAGGGTTTTTTAATGGCTTTCTAACCGATGTCAGCTCATGATGAAGTCCTGTAACCAATCAATAAAATCCCTACAAACCAATACTTGAATTGGCTCTTTTATTATCTCCTATTTGTAATCTCTAGTGTCAATATTTCAATTAACTTATAATTTTAGCTATTAACATTATTGTTATTGTTATTATTATCATTATTTTACACTTTTTGTAAATTATTTGACATTAATGTCACTGGAAATAGCCAAACAGCTGCTGCTATTATCAATCCTGTAATATTCTTTATTATTATATTATTTTTGTTTTCGCTGTCGTTGTTGTTGTTGTTCTTGTTTTCGTTGAGTAAATTAGATCCAGTTATATTGTAAGAAATGCTGAGAATTCCACACTGTATCATAAGTACTGTTTTTTTAGAATGAAGCAAATTATTATTATTATCTCTATTAATCTGCATCTATATACTACTTATAAATCTAGTCTGCAACACACACTACACTTTATTTCTCCTTAAATGCAGTTTTGTCGCCTTGCTTCCATAAAATTGCAGAAAGTCAACACCTAGGACAAGCGTATAAGTTTGAATTTTTTTACTTCTGTAGATTATTAACACTGACTACCTAAATTATTTTAAGTATAGAAGTTTTTTTTCTATAGTTTGGTTTGTAAGCGTTAGTTATGTTTTTACGAGTTGATCACGCATTGATATCAGTTAGAGAACCATTGAAAACCAGGGAGTACTGGACAGCTGCTGTTTCATCCTAGTTTGGGAATCATCGGCAGCACGCTTGCCTTGTAACTGGAAGGTCCTGGGTTCGAATCCCAGTGGGTACGTATTGCCGATGATTCCCAAACTAGGATGAAACAGCTGCCCAGTACTCCCTGGTTTTTAATGGTTCTCTAACTGATATCAGTCCGTGATCAACTCATAGAAGTTTTTGATTGGTGGATGGTGACTAGCAGTGGAATCCAGGATGCGCATTTCGTCCCATTTGGGACTCGTCATCTGGATGTATCTGCATTTCCTAGTGAGTGATGATATTCCCACCGAGGCTCAAACCCAGTGCTCATAGTTTCAAACGCCAAAGCGCTATCCACTAGACCACTTGGGCCACGAGAGCCACGAGAAGTTTTTCCATAGTATGCTCACTTATTTGAGTGATTTTCTGACACACCCCAACAACGACGTTTACTCTAACGTTACCATTTTCATGTAATGACATAAATAATATGCTGTTTAGATATTTAACATTAAATTAAGAATTTAATAATGTATTTATTTGGACTTTCGAATGTATGGAATCCCTTCTTACAATAATCAACATTTTTATGCATATAAATATACTACTGTTATATGTTGTTAGTAGTAGGGTGTAGTTATTTTTTTATTGATATTTATTTTGTTCGAGGAAAAAAATTGTTCTGACAACTTATAACTCATGGGATGATTAGTTCATTACTTACCGTAGGACTTGTCTGTTTTCATTTCCGTTGAGTGTTTATGTGTTTAAAAATATGAAGTATTTTGGGGCCTCAGGACAATGACTCGTAACTTAGAAATAGGGAGTGAAGTGGTAGAGCGTGTTGACCGCTTCACTTATTTGGAAAGTTGCATCAGCCAGTTCCAGCGGGTTCATTGCTGACGAAATCTCAGTACGGATATAGAAGGCTCGTTTGGCATCTGCCAGTTTACGTCGTCTCTGGCTTATTAGACGTGATACCCGGCTGGACATCGACCAAAGAGCGTGTATACTACTCAGCAGTTCGCTCTGTCCTCCGCTATGGGTGTGAGACCTGACCATTGAGAGTGGAGGACATGAAAAGGTTGGCTAGCTGTTTTTGATCATAGTTGCCTACGTTCTATCTCCCGTGTTAAGTGGTATAATAGGGTGAGAAATATTGAGGTCAGGCGTGGGTCGAGTGGGAGGGGAAATCAATCGACGAGACTGTGAAGTTGCATCGATTGAGATTGTTAGGACATGTGTTACGTATGTCTAGCCTCTATGGGCAATGTAAGCTGGCATATGATCAAGCTGTAAAGGAGCCAGTGGTGGTCAAACCAAAACATAGCTTCATCAGTCAATGAGATCCACGTAGGAAGGTGTAGACTGGCTTCTTGGTTGAGATGAGAAAGATAGACAAACATCACTATTTTGGCATGCATATATTTTTACTCTTCGAACGCAGGAGATTCAGGCTACCAAGACAAGCTCGTTGACTAGCGCACAGCTTTGTGCGTCAGTGGTTCAACTGTAGAACGCTCGCCAACCACGCATCAAGTGGTTCGAGCTTTGATCCCCGGCCGGTGCACTCCATAACCGCGATGGCCTGATAGTTAATCCGGTAAAGAGGTAAGGTTGGGCGTGAGGAGTTAGCAATCCCACCTCGTAAAAATAAGACCACTGGTACCGAAGCTTCAAAGCTCTAGCTTGTAGCCCAATGTTCTACTAGGGACGTAAATGAATAAAATAAAAAATAATAATAATACGTTTACTACTTCTTCTGTTTTAGATCATTTTTTCAGCGATATGAAAATTGTTTCAAATTCTCTGCCAATAATGATAACAATAATGACGATCATATGTCAGTGTGGAGTAAAAATTTATTCCCTGAACCGAGCAATTCGCATAATCAAATTCAAACTGAAAATACACGTCAAAAATTGGCATCTTTACGATTAATTGAATCAGGTGGACAGAGTGAGAATCTGGTTGCACCAGTTGTTCGAACCAGAGAAATGTGGCATCGTAAGTATTAAAAAATATTATTGTGTATTTTGGCATAATGTATAGCTTCTTCAAAGTGTTAAGAAAAGCGTTTCATAAACCTGTTCATCAGTTGATAATGAGCCACACTTATTATTTTTTTTGTTTTGTATATTGTATTTTGTTTATTCCTTTACGCTCCCATTGGAGCATAGGGCATCAAGCTAGAGGCTTGAAGTCCCGGTAACAAACAGTGTTGTTTAATTTTACTGGATGAGGTTGCTAGCCTCATGCCCAACCCCCATCTCTTTACCAGTCTTATTAGGAGAGCGTATGTGACCGGGAATCGGACCTTGGACCACGTGTGGCGTGGTTGACGAGCGTTCTGCCGCTGTGCCACCGACGCATACTTTAAGAACTGGAAACATTTATTTCCTGATACGCATATTAAAACTGCTGCTGCTGCTGGATTCAACATAGAACTTGGCACCGAAGTGCAGCAGTTCGAGTTGCGACGTTCCAAATAGCACACAAAGGTAGACAGCAAAATGAGAGAAAGAGAATCAATAGAATTTAGATAAGTATAAGAGTGAAACAGAATGGGTAATGGTAGAAAGGAATATGAAAGATTACAGAGACTGAATACATCTGCGCCATTGACAACGATTTTGAGCCATGTCACCTATTGTCTCCAGCCATTGACTCTTAGAGTCCCGAGAGTGGGCCCCAACCCGGAAGTCTGCATCTCCCTACCTGACTCAGTTTATCTGTCAGGGATTTCATGGATTGATGCCAAGTTTTTGTTTGGCCACCACTTACTCTTTTCCAACCTGCACCTATATCAGCAAGTAATGCCCGTCGGGGGAGGCGATGGTTAGGCATGCGCAGCCATCTCAATCTATGTAACTTTATAGCCTCTTCGATTGATTTTCCCTCTTTGCCATACACTCTACGCCAAACGTCAACATTACTTACCTTATTATACCACCACCTAACGTGAGAAAGAGATCGTAAACATCTGTGGTCAAAAACAGACAATCTCTTCATGTCTTCCGCTCTCAATGGCCACGTCTCACCGCCATAGAGAAGAAAGGAGCGAACTGCTGAGCAGTATACACGTCCCTTGGTTGATAGTGGGACGTCACGCCTACGCCAGAGACGGTGTAAGTTAGCGAAAGCAGCCCGAGCTTTCTGGATCCGTGCTGAGATTTCGTCACCAATCAATCCGTTGGTGCTGATACAACTTCCCAAGTAGGTGAAGTGGTCAACATGTTCTATCACTTCACTCCCTATCACTAAGCTAGGAGTTGACGTAGTCCAGTCCTGTAGCAGCATCTTACATTTTACAGGGGCGAATCGCATGCCAAACATACGAAGATTGCTGCTCAAGGTGTTCAGAAGACTCTGCATTTTGTCAGCGTCCTCCCCTAACAGGACTATGTCGTCTGCGTATTCTAAGTTCATAAGACTATTCCCTGGTAACAAGTCGATTCCCAAGTCGTTAAGTTCAGTTAAGGATACTTCCATTAGCATATCTATGATGAAGTTAAACAGAAAAGGGGAAAGTGGACATCCTTGACGGACACCACTGGTTGTTATCAATTCAGATGACAATTCCCCATAAGCCCTTACACAGCTATGTGAGTTTGAGTAGAGTGCCTTGATTAGTGCAATGTACTTTCTTGGCACTCCCTTCACAGTCAAACATTGCCATAGTACCTCTCGATCCACGGAGTCGAAGGCCGCCTTCAAGTCAAGAAATATGGCAATTGTTGGACGCCTAAAAGTGTGTCTATGTTCTAGGATCTGTCGGAGAGTGAAGATATGATCTATGCACCCTCTACCTGGCCTAAAGCCCGCTTGATTTTCCCTCGTTTGTTCCTCCCGAGTTCGGCTTAGTCTCTTCATGATTACTGAGCCTAGGATTTTAGAGACTATGTTCGTTAGGCTGATTCCTCTATGATTATCGCATGAGGACTTGTCTCCCTTCTTGAATACTGGTATAATAAGTGACTTACCCCAGTCTGATGGAACCGTCTCTGATTCCCAGACGTTACGTAGTACCTTAGTTAAACTATATATATATATATATACTAGTATAGTATAGTATAGTATAGTATACTAGCATATTAAGACAGGCAACAAAAGTTGATAAAACAGGATGATTGAATGAATTCATCAAATTTCGGCAGAACTCCTTTTCAGCTGAATACTCTACATACAGGCATATATATACTGTTAGAAATTACATTGGGAGATATGAGATTGATAAACAAATAAACTACATTGAACCAAACATGAAAAATGATAGGTGTGAATGTTTTCCAGGTCATATTCAAAAAGATAAGCGGAAGGGAGTATGTGAGAGATTAAAATTAAGATAAGATGAATTACGCTTCAATTACATCACTTAGACAAACAATTAGTCATTAGAGAAAGAGGTTAAATATATCAAGAATGGCGAACTGAGTAACAGTAATAGTTATAATAATGATAATAATGATAATACTGAAACGACTCAAGCTAATAGTACTGATAAAAGATAGTTTTAAATGAATCAGGAATAATAATAATAATAATAATAATAATAATAATAATAATAAGAGGTAGAATAAAGTGTTAATAATAATAATAATAATCACAGTTTATAATTAAGACGTATTACCATGGTAGATTCAGAGTCACGACCATTTTCTTTTGTACACAGAGACCCGATTTATAAAGTTTAGATTGCATAAGCCTCTGCAATTGAAAGCATCTTGATATACGACTGGCGGCCTGTTTAAATCACTCGTCTACTGAAATTGTTTTCCACCAAAATGTTTAATTTCACCTGGATGTATCACATTGTCTTAATCGTCTAGTTATATCAGATGACCTATACATGAACTTGTACGCTGCTGATTTAACTTGCTTCCAAGTAAACGCTGTGCAATTCTTCAACGAAATGAAGATATATACTTCAGATTATTCCTTTAGAAGTAAATCCTGTATGAAGAAAAAAAGTATTTTGGAACTAAATCCGCTGGAAATTATTGTACGATATGTTCGCATAATGTCTAAAATAAATTATAATTATTATTATTCCCTTGGGTTCCTAGTGGGACATAGGGCTTCAACTGCACGTCTCCACTTGTTTCTGCCTTCTGCTGTACTTTTCACCTGCATCCATGTTAGTCCATATTGTTTCAACTCCTCTTCACACGATCTCCTCCATGTCACCCTTGGACGTCCCACTCGCCGCTTCTCTTTCGGGTTCCACTCGAGCTATGGCCTGACGCGCGATGTCACCCAACGGCCTCTTCAGCGAGTGTCCAATCCATCTCCACTTTCTCCTGCATATTTGTTGGGCGATTGGTTCTTGTTTTGTTTGTTCTCATAGTTTCTTGTTGGCGATTCTTTCCGGCCATCTGGTCTTCAGTATAGAACGAAGACAGTTGTTGATAAAGGTCTGCAACAGGCTGTTGGAAATATTCTTTGTGACCCGCCGCCAAGTTTCTGATCCGTACAGAAGAACTGACTGACTTGACGTTTGTATTGAAAATCCGATTTTTGTTATTGATGCTGAGTGACGAAGATTTCCAGATTGGTTTCAGGTTGATGAATGTGTTTCTCGCCTTCCCGATTCTCGATTTGACATCCTCGTCCGTTCCTCCTTTATTATTATTATTATTACCTTCCTGTTTGTTTGTCTACGCCCTGGCGATAGTAAATGACTTGATAGAACGTCAATAGCATATCCGTAGTCCACAAGATGCTTTGTTATTGAGCTTTTCGCCACTTTGACTTCAGCTGTTTTCAACCACTTTGGCAAATGTTCAATCATCCGATGAGTAGACAGTCACGTTTCTGTACGACCTGTGTGTATTTGCATCTACAAATACACACTCAAATTGATTATACGCAGTTTGAAGTTTCGAGGATTGGTAAATGGTCTTTCCCAGATTGTTGAAGCACTAGCATGTTGGTGTTAAGGAATAGGAGTCTTCGTTTGACTCCCTTTTTCTTATCTATTTGAATATGATCTGAAAAATCATCACACCTGCCGTTTTGCATGTTCGATTCAATGTAGTTTATTTGCTTATCAATCGTATATCTCCCAAAGTATTTCTAACAGTATATATATATCCGTGTATGTAGAGTATTCAGCTGAAGAGGAGTTCTACCAAAATTTGATGAATTCATCAAAATCCTGCTTTATCAACCTTTGTTTCAAAAGATCGACGTTGATTTACTTCCCTGTCTTGTAATAATCGTTGTATGTTGCTTAACCAGATTCCTGTGTCAATTTCAACTCCTTATTAGAGGGTAAATTTTGTCTATTTTGAGATAGTCTGATAATATGCAAATGAATATGGAAACATATGCGAAGATGAAAGTCAAATTTTATTAACAATGAAATTTTTGAAAGCAGGAATAAATTGTGGTCGAAATATTACTTACTGTATAACACTGTGTGACTTTATCAAATAAATTTTCTCCATAATAGAAGACTCATCTGTCGACCTTGTAGCACTGGTTGCTTCATTGCCTTGATTGCTCGAGTTGTAGTCACAGGTTGTAGCATCACAGGTCATCGGGCATCGGTTATTTACCGCTAGAGTGCTCATCAACCCCGCCTCATGTGGTCTAGGGTTCGATCCCTGGCCCGCGCACACCTTTACCTCCCTTCAGCCGCTTGTAAGCTCGACAAGGAGGGAAGTTCGGGTTTGAGGCTAGCAACTTTAGCCCACGACCACCGCTAACGAAACTTCAAAGCTCAAGTTTGAAGACCTATGTTCCACTCGAATAGCAAAAGGAATAAAGAAAATCTCAGGTGGTCATTATGCATATATCAAGTGTAACTCATACATAATAATACCAATAAAAATGGCTATGGAGGCAGTCAGAAACGAACTCATTTCTGACCAAGAACTCGAACTTAGGACAAAAGTGCCACTTGAGGACATAATGCTGGGAGTACAGCTATGCCTGACTTCCACAGTATTCAAATTCCAAGGGAAAATATACAAACAAACTGAGGGAGTTGCCATGGGATCACCAATATCTCCAGTTGTAGCAGATATATTCATGGATAAATGGGAAAGCATAGCGATTGAAATGTTCACCCCCACCCCAAAAGTATGGTGGAGGTATGTAGGTGACACATTCACTGTACTTAGAACACAAGATATATGTAGGTTTTTCGAACACATCAACTCAAAGGTTGAAGCAATTCAATTCACTTATGAATTGGAAAATCAGGAAGGGGAGCTCCCAATGTTAGATTGCAACGTAAAATGGAAAGATGGGAAGTTAAACACTAGTGTTTACAGGAAACCCACACACTCAAACAGATATTTAGACTTCCGATCGTCCCATCCTATGTTAGTAAAAATAGGATTGGTGAAATGTTTAAATGACAGAGCATAAAAACTAAATAGTACCAAAGAAAATCTAAAACACGAACTGATACACATAAAAGAAGCCTTAAAACTTAATAATTACCCGGATAAATTAGTCAGGAAATATGTAAGGAAATGTAAAAATAAAATAAATAATGATAGTAGCGATAGTGATAATAACAATAATAATGATAATGATAACAGTGATAATAATAATAATATTAATGACGACACCAACAATAAAGAATCTAAATCATCAGTAGTAATTCCATACAAGGAAGGAACCTCGGAAGCCTTACGCAGAATTCTTAACAAGGCAGGAATAAAAACGGCATTCAAACCCACAAACTCAATTAGAAACAAGCTTTGTCGGTTAAAGGATCCTGTAGAGCCTTTAAAACAAAACAATTTAGTTTATCTAATACCCTGCCTTCAATGATTGTCAGGTCAAATACATAGGTCAAACTAGTAGAACAGGGGCAGTCAGACTAGCTGAACATAAAAACTTAGCAAAATCTAGATTGGTTGACCCGAATAAGATAAGAAATCTAGAGAATAGTTCAGCTATAGCACTACATGCAGTCACACACAACCATACAATAGGCTGGATGGGATAGGATGACAGTTTTAAAATCTAATGTCACAGGGTATAGGGAGAGATTGATAACAGAAGCTTTGTTTATCGAATCAACTGCAAATACATGTAATAGGAATGATTCAACACCTGTCCAGCCGGATATCTGGAAAATTCTACTACCCCGACGACGACAAATAGGAGGGAACAAAGAAAACTATAAAACTCAAGTTTCAAAGTCGTGTGATTACAATTGATGATATGATTATGAACAATAAATTTTGTTTGAAACGTCATCCAGTAAATAATACTGTTTCACTTACTGTGTGATATATCTAATAAACAAACTAATATGGAATAACTCATACATAGTTTTAAAACAGTTAGTCCCTTTTATAAATTTTGATAGCATTATTAGAAGACGGAGATTATCTGAAAAATGTGATGTATTAGCGCTATACATTTCGAACAATCCGATCACACATTTACTTGTCAAGTCAGTATATATGGAAAAGTTAAATTAAACAAGGTGACAAAAAAAGAATAATTAAGAATAATTAACACAAACGTTTGGTAATCCAATCAAATAAGGATTACCAAGGTAGGTTAAGAGTAATAACAAACTGTTTTTGAATACACAAGGGGGGCTTAATTTTATGAATGGCTATAGCCTCAGCATATTTCAGTAAACGTCCTTGACCGTTTTTATAGATGACCTTAAAGGCTGAGTTAACATCAACCTTATGGTTCATCTCGATTAAATGTTTAGCTATAGACGAAGTTGGTAGTCTGACACCTGCATCTATGGGCTTGTCACAATTCATCTGTTTTTCTAACCACTTTGGGATATGCTCTCCCACCCTCACGTGCAACGCGCGATTACTCCTCCCTATGTATGTATGTCCACACACACACGAAAATTGGTAAATTGTGTGGGATGTGATATAATCACTTGTGCACTTTTGAGGTTTCCAGTTAAGCATATTTTTAGCTTTTTCCACAATTACAAGCTGGGCTGCATAGTAGGTTCTACGGATGATGGAATTCAACCTTTGTCTCAAAATCCTAATATTTATTTCCCCATTATATGGTAATTTGATGAAAACCTTTTTCTTAGGGACGGTATGGATTGTAGGTTTAGAGGCTAGTTGACTTCTACACCTGTTTAAAAATTTCAAAGGATATCCGTTTTCAAAAAGAGTATCTATCCATGAATATTTCATTTTCTTTGTCTATAACATCAGCCGTGCAAATACGCTGAATCCTCTTAAATAGACACTTCACCAAGCCTCTCTTATATTGTAATGGACAGAAGCTGTGAAAATTAAGATATTGCCCTGTCCAAGTGGGCTTTCTGTAGATAGAACGTCTTATTGAGCCATCGTCTCTTCGACTCAGAAGTATGATAAATAAAAATGTTCATGTCCAGGTAAGTGATTTGAGTTATTAACTATACATTTATCTACTGTAATAAAGCTTACTTTTCCTTTCCTTTCTTCTTATGCCCTTATTTCAACTGTATGAAGCTAACCAATCTGGTCTGGGTACTTTGAATCCAACCTCCAAAAGTACACGTAATACTACATGTAATTATGAAATTAAAGTGGATAAAATATCTCAAGAGAATCCACTACTGATACATGATTTACCACCTATCACAGATACTACTACATTACAATTAAATAATCAAACATTAGATTTTATTCGTCCAGCTGGTATGCTTTCATCATGGCAAAAAGAAAATCTAAAAGAACCTGGACCATGGAATGATGTTAAAGTAAGCTTACTTTTTTTCTAGAATGTTACATGTGTTTAGATTCCCATGAGTAAATATATATGTATATATATTTATAATAATGCCGTAATATTTTATTCTGCCTACTTTGAATTCTTGATTATGCTAAGAATCGGTAGTTGGAAATGACATAAAATCATTCATAATGGTTCAAATGTACTGATGAAGAGTCCCAAGCACTAGGATGAAACAGCTGTCCAAGACTCCAGCGTTGGTTGGTGTTTTCCAATGGTTCTCTAACTGATATCAGCTCATGATGAAATCCTGTGACTAATCAAATCCCTGACAAAACTAAAACTTGCGTATTTTAATTTTTTTTAAACATTTTTTTTCTATATACTCTAAGGTTTCTCTAGCTGTCGGGTTGATTTCCCAGTGTATGGTTAAAATGAAAATGGGTATTATTATTATTATTTCCTTTAGTTCCTAGAGGAACATAGGGCTTCATCCATGCGTCTCCATTGCGTTCGGTTCTCTGCTAGAGTTTTCACCTGGCTCCAAGTCTGCCCATACGCTTTCAATTCTTCTTCACATGATCTCCTCCAGGTCACCCTTGGACGACCGACTCGCCGCTTCCCTTTCGGGTTCCACTCGAGCGATGGCTTGTCTAGTGATGTCACTTGATGGATTGTTTCCTCAGAGTATGGCCAGCCAATCCATCTCCATTTCTTCCTGCCTATTTGTTTCACAATCGGTTCCTGCTGTGTTGGTTCGCTCATTGCCAGAGATCTTTGTTGCTGATCCTTTCCGGCCATCTGATCTTGAGTATTGAGCGAAGACATCTGTTAATGAAGGTCTGTAGCTTGTTTGAGGTGCTTTTTGTGACACGCCAAGTCTCTGATCCGTATAGTAGTACTGACTTCACATTGGAGTTGAAAATCCGGATCTTATTTTTGACGCTGAATGCTGTTGACCTCCACACAGACTTGAGAGTAATGAAAGCTTGCCTTGCTTTGATATCCTCGTCAGTTCCGCCTGTAGTTGAAACAATGCTTCCCAAGTAGGTAAAGGAGGTTGTTTCTTTCAGGTTCCTTCCATTTATGCTGATTGCTGTCTGTTGTTGTTGCTGTGGCTGTTGGTGTTGGCCGGGAATCTTCATCACCTCCGTTTTCTCTATGTCCATCTGAAGTAAGTCGTATCTTTGATGCTTCTTCTGCCAACTTGTTACTTTTCACTTGCATATCTTCCAGTTTGTGGGAAATCAGACATATATCATAGATGAAGTCCAGATCCTCCAAGTTCTTTGTGTGAGTCCATTTTATGCCTGTTTCCTCATTGCCCGCTGTCTGTCGCATTATCCAATCTACTGCAATCAGGAAAATCATTGGCGATAGTAGGCAGCCAGCTTGTCTTACTCCTGTCTTTACTTCGAAGGATTCCGTGAGCTTCCCGTTGTGGATTACTTGGCATGCAGCGTTGTTATACAACTGTTGGATGAGATGTATAATTGTCGGCGGCACCCCGTAGTAGCGAAATAGTTGCCAAATCACCTCTCGATCGACACTGTCGAATTATCTTTGAATATCGGAAAATCTGTACTTAATTATTCCATCTTCTTTTATTATTTAAACTCACGTTTGCTAATATTCTCATCATTTGGTTCCTTTATGTAGTTTTTTATTCATAAGAAAAAGGCACAAACAGCGAAGAAAATTTTCTTTTCGACGACTCATTTTCATGAGCTGTACTATCCTAATTATAATTAACAAAGAAATCTTTAGACCAATCAGATACTGGTAAATTTTGTCCTTGGAAAATTGTATTACATAATGTAAGGTGTAAGAAGGGATGACTAATTGTAAGTTAGAAAGGAGACAGAAGTTGGCATGACGTAATAAGTGTGAGATAATGAATAATCAATAAGCTCGTGTAAAATGGACAGGAAATAGTGGAAAGGCTATAAAGTGTTTTTGTATAAAATGTGTATGAAAAGCAATGTTATTAATAAACAGCAATAGAGTGGTAATAAAACATGGATGATGGGAATAATAATGATAATAAAAGTATGAATAAAATAATAATAGTGAACTTACATAATAAAGGAAAGAAGCAAAATTGTGGTAGTAACTTCACTTTGGCCATGGTAGGGCAAGAGAATGTATGTATCGCTTTTGGATACAGAGGTCCGGCTTCTGATCTTGAATAGCTAATGCTTCAGCTATGTACAGATGGCGTATCCGAAGTCCCTTTGTAGGATATTGAGGGACTCCGTGTAACACTGTGAAGCATTCATGTGGGGGTGCTCGATGTCCAGAGATAACAAGGTGTTTGAGGATCGAGCTGTTGCTATTCTTCTTTTCTCCTCTGGATAACGAAGCTGGGCAGTGTTTCAGAATACGTTTGTGGACTTGACGTTGCGTACGGCCAATATACTTTGCTCCACATGAGCAAGTAAATTGATAAATACGCATTGAAGTGGCCAAAAGCGGTATCTTGTCCTTAGCGTTAGAGTGGATTAATTGTCTGCAGGAGAATGTGATACGTAGAGTGGCTGTTGGAAATGTCTTCTTCAGACTTTTTTATTCTTCAAACTGCGTCGATGACGATGAACTTCCATGAGGAAGATTTTATAGTGACCTTGCTTATTGTATAACATAAAAACCTAAATCAGTAGTTAAGAGCACACAAGTTAGTATATATGTAACAAACTAAATCAGTGTCATCGTTACATAATTTGCAAACTTTGATGTATACTACTTACCAGTAGTAAAATGCAATATCTTGTAAACTATATTAACATTTTACATCGCTTTTATTCGTCTATCTTCACTCATCTTTTCAACATAAAATAGCGGACAGAAAAGGGAGAAAAACAACAAAAAAACGATAAATGCACATTAATTTAAGCGATTACATCAAATCATAGGATGGAAATGTTATGACACTAAATCTCAAGTGTACGTTAGAAGCTTAGCAAATATTTTTTGAATGCGGCAAGTGATGATATGGAATGATGATGAATGCATTTGCTTTATGGTAAATTTATTGTTATAGGCGATTTCGTTAAAGGGTTCACACAGTCTATTCCAAGAACCCCAGTTAGGCGTACTGCATATCCTAGCATAGTTCATTGACTATATAGAGATTGGTGCTATGGATTTAATTTTGATTATTACTTTATTCTAGTCGCTGTTTTCTAGCAGATTTATGTCTGAAATACTCATCGAAAGGAAAGAATTTTATGTTTCTTTGCATTTGTAGTATTCACAGTGGTGTGAAATATGATGGTGGAATACATCTACAATACCTTTCGGTATCATTGTGTAATTAATTTACAATTTACGTGTCGTCATCGAACAAAGCATAGAATGGCAGTCAAACTTCTACCTCAACTTCATCGACTAATTTGAAAAGCCCTTCGACAGCATCGACCGCGAAATAATTTGGAAACTAATTCAGCATTATGCTCTGCAGTGCCCAAATCTTTATCGACCTCATTCAACAGCTGGTTACATGACAGTGCCACGTGTCAGGTGATCCACAATGGAAGACTCAGCGAAGTCTTTGAAGAGAACACAGGCTTTGTCTGTTGAAGGATCCCCCTATAGAGCCAATTCAACAAAACAATTTAGTTTATCCAATATCCTACCCGCAATGATTGTCAGGTTAAATACATGAGTCAAGGTAGTAGAACAGGGTTAGTCAGACTAGTGGAGCACAAAAGCCTAGCAAAATTCCCGATTTGTTGACCCTAATAAGATAAGAAATCTGGAGAATAGTTGAGACGTTAAGGCAGGCTTAGTAAAGTGTCTAACAAACCGAGCAATTGCACTAAGTAGTACGACAAGAAAACCTAAATTATGAAATAAAACAGACAGAAGAAACGTTAGTGTCAAACTATCCTATAAAATTCGTTAGCAAGATCAAAAATGGTCAAAATAAAAGTAATGGGGAAACTAATAATGATACCATAAACAAGAAAGAATATAAGGCATCTACAGTCCTACCACATAAAGAAGGGACATCTGAGACCCTACGTAGGATTCTTAATAAAGCAGGAATTAGAGTGGCATTTAAACCTACAAACTCATTCAGAATGGAAAGGCTCTGCAGGTTAAAGGACCCAGTTGACACTATTAGACAAAATAATATAATTTACAAAATACCTTGCAATGACTGTGAATGTGGTCAACTTTTTTTTCTTTCCTTCACGTTCCTCAGTGGAAGATAGGGCTTCAAGCTAGTGGCTTAAATTTTCTATAGCAGTGTTTATTTTACAGGATGGGGTTGCTAGCCTCATGCCCAACCTTTCCTCTTCACCATCATTATTTCTGGCTTAGTGAGGTAAAGAAGTGCGCCGGCCGGGGATTGAACCCCGGACCATGTGTATGGTCGGCGAGCGTCCTAACCGCTATGCCACCGATACACTCGTCCGGCGAGGCGGATACGAACCATCGACCTAAGATCAACTACATAGGTCAGTCAAACTAGTAGGTCAGGGGTAGTCAGATTGTCCAGAACATAAGAATTTAGCTAAGGTCAGAATGGTTGACCCTGCGAAGATAAATCATTCGGAAAAAAACTCAGCGATTGCACTGCGTGCATTAACACACAACCACACGATAAGGTGAGAGAGGGTTAAAATTCTAAGAAGTAATATAGGTAGGTGGAGAGAGAGAGAGAGGTTGATTACTGAAACCTTGTTAATGGAGTCTACACCCAACACGTGCGATAGGAATGACTCATCACTTATACCGGAAATATGGAAAATACTAATACCAATAGAGTCAAGTGATGAAAAATAATGGAATTATATAAACGAAGTTAGAAAGTTGTTTGAATAGTACCTTGATATGATTATGAGCAGCAATAAATTGTGCTCGAAAAGTGGTCATCAGTAAATATTACTTACTGTATAACTTACTTTACTTTTACTTTACTTCGGCTATCTCCTAAGGGAGGATGAGCCGGCTTCATGAGTATCTCGAATCATCGCTGCCCAAGCGCGGCGATCTGATGCACGGTTTTGCGACAGGGTTATCCAATTCTTGTTCCACAGACGGAGTCCGTAGACGGTTTGTAGCCCCAGGCACTCCATATCAGCCTTGACTGTACCTCGTTTGTAAGAGAGTTCATGAAGTTTCATGGGAATTTGGTACGAGTGATGTCCCCAGAATCGCTCGGCCTTTTATCTGAGAGTGCAGCTCTAGCCTTTACACAACCAAGTGTGACCTACAAGGCAGTAGGAGTGGAGTAGGGAGTCCACTATCCATTGACAGCCGGTGACCGGAGTTCGGTTCATACGCCTTTTTGAATGGGGCCAGACATCCAGGACATCCAACAAGCCCTTTGTCCATACGTCTGCCGATGAGCTCCAGTGAGCTTCATACGCCAGTCGTTGGAGGTTTGGAATCAGGGTTTAGCCATCTCCCCTAGACTGTTATCCAATGGACAGTCAACCCGGTGAAGAGCGCCGGGCATCCGCTTTCGCCCTCTCACTTTGGTGAAAAACACCTCCGCCACGTGAAGGCAGTGAGTAGGAGTTCCTCAGGAGAGACTATGTAAGACGCCCGGTCATTTGAGAACATTTCAAGAGGTGTGCGGAGGGGTGGCCAACCCGCAGCGCAAGGCACCCACCCCCGACCATCCTTAGGCTTTGGAGGCTTACTGTATAACACTGTGAGACTTAATCAAAATAAAATTTTACCCACAAGGGAGCACGAAAAACTAGCAAAATCCCAATTAATTTGCCCTAATAAGGTGAGAAATCTGGAGAAATAGTTCAGTCATAGATAGCACTACATACAATTGCACACATACACGCACAATACAAGAGCATAGGATTAGATGGCACTTGTAAAATCTAACATAACAGGGTGATGGAGGGGGAGAGATTGATAACGGAAGCTCTATTCATCATTGTATCAACTGCAAATACGTGCAACATGAGTGATTGAATACCTGTCCAGTCGGACATCTGGAAAGTTCTACCACCCACCCGTTTACGATGAATTGGCAGGAATAAAGAAGATTATATAAAACACATGTTTCGAAGTTGTGTGGTTATAATTGATGATATGGTTATGAACAATATTGAACTGTGTTCGAAACCTAGTCATCCAGTATGTAATAATACAGTTTCACTGTGTGATGTACCCATCTGATAAACAAAGTAATATGGAGAATCCTCCTACTGATGCTTATTGATGAATTTCGAGAGATAAAAGTTGATTCATCACAGTATCGTATACAGTTGAAGCATGTTAATGTATCCCTTTCTCTATTCTTAGATAACTTCTGGTCGACCTGTACCATCGTCTGTTAGACCAACACGTGAACCTGAATGGCAGATTTTTACAGAAGATCAAAATAATACACAACAAGAGCAATCTAACATTTCAAATGCGACGAATGATGTACAACCGTCTGTATGGTAAGTAGTCATACTTAACGAATTATTATTGTTATCATCATTATTGTTATAACTGATATTAAATATTGTTTTATAGCCAGTCTATTTTTTTCCTTCACTTTCCCCAGTGGAACATAGGGCTTCAACCTAGTGGCTTGAAGTTTCTGTAGCAGTGTTTATTTTACAGGATGGAGTTGCTAGCCTCATGCCCAACCTTTCCTCTTCACCAGCATTATTTCTGGCTTAGTGGGGTAAAGGAGTGCGTCTGTGGCCGGGGATTGGACCCTAGACCATATGCATGGTCGGCGAGCGTCCTAGCCACTATGCCAGTCTATTATCATATTCTTATTATTATTGTTTTCTTGGGTTCCGATTGGAACATTGGGCTTCAACAACACATCACATTGTTCTATTTTCTGCTGTCATCTTTAGCTGAACCCACGATTATCCATAATCTCTCATCTCTTCCTCGTATGACCTCCTCCATATCACCCTCTCACCATTCGGGTTCCACTCGAGCTATGGCCTGCATTAAGCGCGGTGTCATTCGACGGCCTCCTCAACGTATGCCCGACCCATCTCCATTTTCTCCTACATATTTGTTGAGCAATTGGCTCTTTGTTGGTTTGTCACCAGCCAGAGTTTCCTGTTGCTAATTCTTTTTGGCCTGCTGGCCATTTAATCTTCAGTATGGAGTCAGTGAAGGCGGCAGCTGTTGGAAAAGGTCTGTAACTTGTCGGAAACCCTTTCTGTGACACGCTGGCTAACTTTCTGACCCGTGTAGAAGAATTGACTGAGTAATTGAAAATCCAAACGAATATTGTTCTTTATGCTGAGGCGGATTGCAGAAGATTTGCAAACTGGTTTCAGGTTGATGAAGGCGTATCTTACCTTACCGATTCTGACTGGCCAGTTTTAACATGTTCATCCGTTCCACCTGTAGTTGAAAGGACGCCTGGCTAGATAAGTGAAGGAAGTAACCTCTGTCAAATCAAACCCGTTAGTGGTGATTTGTACTGGTTGTTGTTGGTGGTGGTGTTGTTGCTGTTGTTGTCGGTCGGTTATCTTCATCACCTCCGTCTTCTGTATATTCACCTGGGGTCTTGTTTTCGCTGCCTGCTTTTTCAGCCAGTTTGTTGGTTTTCGCCTGTAAGTCTTCGAGTTTGTGTGTGTGTGTGACATTGAGCATATATCATCCACGTGCGAAATTCAGATCTTCTAGATTCTTCTTATCTCGGTCCAACGTGGTATTCGTGTCTTCCCACTCCCAATGCACAGTCTGACGCATAATTCAGCCCGTCACAATCAGAAATATTAGTCAGTCAGTCAGTCAAAATAATCAAGTTTGAATATGGCATAGAATGAATTTATCAAATGGATTAAAGCTACTTATCGCTTTCGCCTTCGCTTTCTGCTTTTCTTTTCTTTTTCTTTTTCCCCAAATATCTTTTCCCCATGAAATTTTAGTTTACTGATAAAAAAAATAAATAAATAAGTGATATTGTATTATTTACTTGATAATCAACAACTTTATCGTTATTCATTTGTGTTACTGCTTAAATGCCATTTTTGCATTACCCCTACTCTATCATCACAGTGCAAACTGCTATATGCCTACATCAATGTAATCTACTAGTGATATATGTATGATATATGTGTGTATACATGGATAAGCATATGTGTTTTTCAAGTGTTGGTTTGTAGGGATTTGATTGGTTACAGGATTTCATCATGAGCTGACATTAGTTAGAGAACCATTGGAAAACCTGGGAGTACTGGACAGCTGTTTCGTCCTAGTTTGGGACTCTTCAGCAGTACGCACCCACCGGGAATCGAACCCGGTGATGAAATCCTGTAACCAATCAAATCCCTACAAACCAACACTTGAAAATCAATGAGATGCTCACTAGCGACTTGCCCTGTTCAGGTAGGTAGTCACCTGGGGTTCTAGTGAGAAGTCGTGACCAGTAGGGTGCATCAGGTCGGGCGTGAGGACAAATACTCGCCGAAGACATTGGCTAGTGGTCGCGCTATGTCGTGAATTCGCAGAAGTTAGAATTCATGGGCCATTGGATTGGGTCCCAGTGGCTTAATGGCATACGAACTCACCTTGTAACCAGAAGGTCCTGGGTTCGAATCCCGATGGGTGCGTACTGCAGAAGAGTCCCAAACTAGGACGAAACAGCTGTACAGTACTCTCAGGTTTTCCAATGGTTCTCTAACTAATGTCAGCTCATGATGAAATCCCATATGTGTTTTATTCTTGTCAGTATTACCTTGACTTAGAAGATATGCGTGTTTCTCTATCTCTCCCTAATAAAACCTGAAAATTTCTCATGATCATTATCATCATCATCGTCATCATCATGATTGCCTTCGTCGTCATTCTGACATCATCTAGTCTTTTCTGTTCTAAAAAACAAAACAAGAAGACCTACTGAAGGAAGTAGTGGTTGTTTGTTTATCTATGTATTTACTTGATTTTTTCTCTTGAAGAAAGATGGATGGGTTTATTCAACACGGAATAAGCAAATAAATTTCCTCATTACACTTCTCCAACCCACCCCCCACCTCTGATTCAATACAAAATGACCATTCATTTGTAAGATAGATAAATAGATAGATAGATACTAACTCTATCAAATATTGTTGTTGTTATTTTGTTTCTTTACTTACCCATTTATTTATGTATTTATTCCGTTGAAAGTGACTATGAGAGAATAAACAGAGGAAAGTAAACAAAACTATGTGAAAGGTGATTTTTACTACTATCCCACTGTCCTCATTTCTGTTTAATTTTTGTCATAGATGTACTAATGGATTTAAGCCTAAATGAATTCAGCGACTTTAGGGATTGAATTCTTACCAAGGGGACCGTCTTGTGTTGAGTTAGACTATGCATATGATATAATTCTCCTAGATGAAGACGCTGACAAACTCCAGAGTCTTTTGAACATCTTGAGCAGTAGCAATCTTCAAATTCTTGGCATGCGATTCCCTCCTGCTGTCAAATGTAAAATGATGCTACACGAGTGCAGTACAACGATTCCTAGCTGGCTTGAGGATAGGCATAAATGAAGTGATGGCTGGGCGTGTTGATCACTTCACTTATTTGAAAAGTTGAATCAGCCAGTTCCAATCGAATACCAACAATTCACAGTGCACCGTAATGGCGAGACACCTAGCATGGTAGCCACGTTGCAACCTTGACTGATAGAATTCAGTCTGCAGCGAAGATAGGACTAGACACATTACACTAGTTACTGACTAGTGTGCAATCAAAAATATCCAATACAGTCCTATAGGAGGTCAGTCGCGAGCCTGAATAACTCAGTGGTAACGTCTCTGACTGCAGCACTGGGTGACGCGGGTTCGAATCTCAGAAGGGACATGAGTTCCTTGAAGGTTGCAGATACGCCTTGCTGATGAGTGCCAACTAGCACGAAACCTGGGTCCAAGGCTTCCTGCCGATTGCTTGCAACCATCTAATACCAACAGTTCCAATGGGTTGACAGTTGACGAAATCTCAACATGGATACCGAAGTCTCGTTTGGCATATACCAGCATACAACATCTGTGGCTTAGTAGACGTGATATCCGGTCGGCTACAGATCAGAGGGTGTGTTTACCGTCCTGCTTTATGACTTTGAGATATTGCCGTTGTAAGTGGAAAATATGGAAAGGTTAGTTGTGTTTGATCATAGGTGTCTGCGTTCAATTTCCCATCTTAGGTGGTGGTATAATAGGGTGAGTGGTATTGAGGTCAGGCGTCGGTCGAACGCTCAGTAGGTGGGAGGCCGAATCAATCGACGAGGTTGTGAAGCAGCTATATCGATTTAGTGAGATGGTTAGGATATGTGTTATGCATGCGTATCTAGCCATTGATCGCTTTCCTTGATGGGTAATGTTAGCTGACTAACAAAAGAGCTACTAGATATGATGGAGAAGATTTGTAGCTCAGGTGGATGATTTTGATGTGGTTGTGTTCTCTGAGCTGGATAGTTAATTTGCGAAGATTTCATCACCCTACTAGGCGACATCTTCAGCGCATACTTCAATTTGAATTGCGCTTTTAGATTTCTCTACGAGTTTATTAATCATCTCTCCTGGTGACCTTGGATGTGATTGGTTGTTTTTATGTGGTTTCACACCTTCTAAGCTTCTTGTATTGGAACTGATTGTTCCTTTGACTTGGACTTTCACCATTTGTGTGTGTGAGGTTTCTTTCTTATCGGTTGATAAATTTTGTCAATCTCGATGTGTCTATTGATTGATGATTCACTGGAATACCGGGCAGCCTTCTAAAAATTCTCTATCATTCTTTTTGTTTCCTCTGTCTAATATTTGAACGTTGTCCCAGTCGAATTGATGTCCGTGGTTGTCTGTATGTAGTGATATGAGGGAGTGGATGTCATGTCTTTTGACGTCATGTAAATCTAAAAGCTCACTTCAAATTGATGTATGCGCTGAAGATGTCACCTAAAAGGATGATAAAAGCTTTACAAATTAACTATCCAGCTCAGAGAACACAACCACATCAAAAAGAGCTACTGGTGGTGGTCAGTTAGTGAAATCTATAACACTTAGTTTGAGGCACCCGTCCACGTTGGAAGGTCTAGACTGGATAGCTAACTGGTTGGTTGTGGTCCTCAGGATGGTAAAAACCAATGGCGGTTGAAGACAAATGGTGATGTGGCTGAAAATCCTCGTTCTCGATGATGACTCAGGTGCATCCACTCTTTGTGATGTATAATATCCAATAAAACCCTATTGTTCTTCCGTATTACTAGTCTTTTTCCCTCACTCACACTTCTGTTTATTATCCCTTTTCTGAATTTCTCTTTACTCTCTTCTGTTGGTTTGTGTGACACAAGGAGGGAGTGTAGGAACTGGAACTGCTTCCCTTCTGTGGAAAGTTCTGTGTTGAAACCGGTCAGTTAGTCAGTCAGATCTTTACTGTAAAACTTATAATTCTTAATCTTTTAACCTTTCTTCCTTTCTAGTTAACAAATTTAATTGGT